AGATTCTGGATCTGAGAGATAGAAATGTGAATAGGAAAAAAAAGAGACACTTTCTGCGTACTAACATGGGCGCTAAAGAATCATTACCAGGTGATGGCCCTGCCCCGGAGATGCACCATTATTACAGCAAATTTATGAGAGAATGCCCATCTGGGCAACTTAGTCTGCATGAATTCAAGAAACTCCTGGGCCTGCAAGGGCTGGATCCACAGGGAGATCTATATATTAAACGAGTGTTTGATATCTTTGATCTGAACCAGGTAAACCTTCTTTTCTTTGTTTCGTTAATCTCATACTATTGCTTTGTTTGTGAGTTACAGCCTCCAGGCTCCTCTCTGTGCTCTGCTCACAAAACTGTTGTTGTGGACAGGGTTGCCATTATGGAGCACTAGAGGTGAAGAAGTGGGACGGTGCTTTGAGCCCTTTGAGTAGGACTCTTGTTAGTACTTTCCAGGGGGACTTAAATAATGTCAAGAAACAATTCTGAAAATGAGATGTAAGTTGCAGTTCACTGGTTATTCTTCTGTCCTTTGCTTGTCCCGTGTTTGTATGTAAACATATGAAAATATTGGTATGCTCAAATACAAAGTTAATAAGTTTTCATAGCAATCTTAGACGAAAATATGGTGTGCGCTGCCATCACTCACCCATACGAAGTGGTCCAGTTGCCACATAGCAAAGCAGCTTTTCCCATAAGAAGTAGAGGGCAGATGCTTGTGGGGGACTTAATGCATGTGCTTTAAACATAGAGGAAAAATAGGCATAGTGTAGAGGACAGAGAGGCAGGAGGAGCTGCACCAGGGTTGTCAGCTAGAGAACATGCTGTCTTTTCAGCATGGCTTTCAGGATCACTATCCTGAAGATCTCAGCTGCTTCATCTGCGTGACTGAACTTCCTCTTTTACCAGGAAGTTTCTTGCTGTACTTTTCTGAACTTTACTTTATCATTGTCTTCATCCTTATCTTCCCCAGATGAACCAAGGTCAATCAAGGCTAAAGGATAGGAAAACAGGGTAACAGCCACAAATTCAGTCTCCCCTCCCTTCTCCCATGTCTCTATTTTGTAATGCTCGGGGTCATAGATAGCAGAGCAGTGAGGGGTAGCCTGCTTGATTACAGCAAACCGGGTGAGTTGGGCTTGCTTGATTACAGCAAACCGGGTGAGTTGGAACATCAGTCCCTCCACCAGAGAAAGCCATCTGTGTCCAGCACCAGCCCCTCACCATCTGCCAAACAGGGACTGGGCCACTCAAGTATAGCAAATCTATGCATTTGCCAGCCTTCACAGCTAAGGTCTTTTCCAAACTGTCACATGCATGGCTATTGACAGAAATTGTGATCCTTGAACACCGCTTGGAGGGTCTTAGTATAGCACCTCTTCCAGTCCCTGTAGATATGCTTGGTTTTCTTTTCAGGTGAAAATTTCAGCTCTCTGTGTAATGTGAAGTTGAGCTGTGGTTACAGCAAGGAGATACCAACCTGTAGATCAGCTTCCAAGCTAAAAGAAAAATGAGGGGAAAAAAACAAAAAACAACCCACCAGAAAAACTAAGGAGAGGAATGGGTATGAAACAATACAGCAGCTGGGAATCAAGCTAGAGTGTATCAAAGCTCAGAAATCTATGCTGATCACTAGCCTGTGAGGTTTGATAGGTATTGACAAGATCAATCTTGCTAGAGAAGAATGTCAGACAAACAAAACTAAGTCTGGCATATTTGAGACTTACATAGAATAAAAATAGGAACAATTTAAGATGTAAGATTTATATCCTGAGCCCACAACAACCTTTTACAGAGCTTGACAGATTTGTTGTCTTTTAATCCCTATTCAGTATAATGACTGCATTTCCATTACCATACAGCCTTTGTTTCTTTTTCTACCATTGTTAACAGCACTCTATTTTCATAAGTTTAATTATATTTTTTCCTTTATTACCAAGACTAATGACCACTGTTTTTAAGGTATACTTCTAGAAATAACAAGCATCAATCATACACTTTTCAAGTACATGGCTATGATGCTTTTTATGAGTTTAAGCTAGGAATAAAGAGTCAACAGACCAGCCTGTCAGGGCAGGAGAAAGGAACATTGTATGTTATTGATGAGGTAAAGCAAGAGGATATCCTTATTCCATATGCTCCCTTTTTGTCCTATATGCTTTCCATAGCTTTTTCTCCTCTCTGGGGTTTTTGCCAGAAATGTAGGCTTTGATCCTGAAAAGTGCTTTTAGTTAAGTACAGATGTGTGAAGAGTGGTCAATAGATGGCTGACTGGGAGTATCACACTGTGGGCTCTGAAATGGCAGTTATGATTGTACAAATAAGGGGTCATTATCCTTCCGTGAAATTATGTAGAACATTTAGGTACTGTGCAATACTAAACAGACGGTAATCTTTCATCTCCAAGCCACAGAAGTCAATGGATGCAAGTGGTTACATGCATAATGCACCAATTCAGAAATAATTTGGTCATTTGCACTTTTGCTTACGTTCAGTTTGCTTCAGTACTATAGCAACTTCTCAGGTTTGTAGACCAAAATTTTATTTCCTTTGCTATTGTATTCTTGTCTGGTTGTTGCTTTCTAATAAAGGAGCCATTATCCCAGTGAGTGCTGAAGCATAGAAAACTTCTTGATAGAAATTATTTCCTTTCTCTTAATAGTACACTTTATATAGAAGTCCTGTTTAGCTAGACAGATAGCAAACTTCAAACTTCTTCCATGCTTCCCACATCTGACTTTTATAAATATATGACCTGACTTTTTTCCATATCTAACTCTTTGTGGACAGACAATACCACGGTTTTATAGTGGGGCTTTTACAGTTTAGAATTGTTATGACTTCTATTGCTGAAGCTTATATATGAAAGCATATAGTTTGGCAACTAATTTACAGTTGATCTAAATCTAAAGAAACTCATTCTGGAAAACTTCAGTCATTTAGTAAGATCTTCTACTCTCAGCATAAAAGATATTTTTCTCATGTTTTCTGTTTTCATGGTTTTCTGTTTTCTCACAAATAGAAATCTGCTCAGAAAGCTGTGCTAAATGTTAGACCTGAGATTAATCAACAATTCCAATTATAGCAACCTAATGCTCCTTGAATTAAGTTTGGGGTCATCCATGCTTGGAGCTATTCTATCACAGAATAAGATGATAAAACACTCTTAAAAGGTGCATAGACTTTCTTCTGTGTGTTTCATGTATGCCCTGTTTAAAACCTGTACCAGGTAAGATGTGGAATATTAACCTCAGGACGTTAACAGGACTTGGCAGGGGAGGGGGATGTCACTGCAGTTGTGAATTGCATTTCACCTCCTTGTTAGCCTTGTTGCTTCTATCTGAAGTCTGTTACAGACATTCTTCTCTTAGGACTTCCATTTTAAAAAAAACAACTTGTCCATAAAACATAGGAAACATAGAAACAGTTAAAAAGGAAATATGGGAGTGTGGTAGGTTTTTTTGACAATTTGTGATAGCTTGAAAGCCTAGGCAAAGCTTGTTTGCCCAAGTCATCCATACAAATACCAACAGGAATTCAGTTGCAAGACAAACCTTATCATGACCTGGATTTCTTTTGACTTGAAATAATAGAGTAGTTTAGCTCCCCACTCATGGAAATGGCTATGGTCAGTGGACATACAACAGGGAGGGGTACAACTTCCCAGCACAATCCAATGTCATGTAGAGTTTGAGGTTACCTCAGGTCTTGGCAGAAGGCAGACCATGTAAGCTCAGAGCACTGCACTAACTTAACATGCCAAAGAGGCAACACTGTTGTGGCTGTATGGCTTCCTGGACTCAGTAAACTTGTGTGGTTTTGTGTGGCAGAGCATGCAGGCATTCATGCCTCTGGCTCATCGGAGTGTACCTATTCAATGTATAAAAGTTGTTTGCAGTCAGTGCCTGTTTCTGTTGAAGGTTAGTGACAAAAGCTATGTCCTAAATGCTTTCTCCTCAGGAACGTACTAAATAAATACTAACAATTTCTGGTGTGTCTCTTGTGCAAACCACACACTGTTTCATAATTAAATGACCTTATACACCAAGTATGCAGATGTCTTTAATTATTCCATGTTTCTTAAAAACAAGGGTTCTATGTCAAGGTTTTTCATCCTTTCCTTGACCTCTGTTGGATGCTTTGCTATAATTAAATAAACAAAAAAACCAAACAAACAAATAAATAGGCTAGTGAAGTCTGAACATTTTTGTTCATCATTCTTAGCTCCAGTGAAAAATAAAGATGCTGAATGTTGAGAACTGTAATTGCGAAGTTAACTTTCCTTGAGATTATCACAAGAAGTGCAGGATGTAGCATTTAAGCAAACGTTTTATTCATGACTCATACATTAACACTTGCGAGTATTATTTATACAATGGCATTGGCAGTATAATAAATGGTGGGGTTATCTTTTGCCACAGCTTTCCAATGAAAACCTTCAAAAATAATGTTTTTATTAAAATACAAGTGCAACATAGTTCATTTTTTAAAAGATTCCCTTTATTATGTCATTTTAGGGAAAAATTGCCTCAGTCTTCTTCACCCTTAAGCTATTTCTAATATAGAAATGAAAAAGCTGCAACCACATGCAAGTAAGCTGAATTCCTCCTGCTTTTTTCATTCGCTCTGAATCTCAGTCCATGCGTAACTGTCATGCAGTCCTAGCTCATGCAGTCTACTGATGAATTTTAGAGAGGAAACAGTTATGTTTATCTAAAATACTTCAGTAGATGCCAAGTATACTGATGTATAATTCGTTTTCTGTGAGAATATGTATCATATTTCAGAGAAATTATAGCCTTCAAAATGAGGTTACAATAGTGTTAAAGGAGAGAGCATATCTAGAAAATAATGTCTGGTGTATCCATAATATACTGGAAGTGTTAGTTGCTCTTAAACAGAACTAAGGAAGCATTCTACAGTCAGCACTGCTACTATTTAACACTTATTCTAAAAAAATCTTCTTTCTTTAGATCAGAAACCCAGATCACTGTCATCCACTTCCATTGTCTTGCAGATAGGTTTTGCTACCACTAAAAATAGAAACTGAATACTGTAAGAATTGATTGATTGGGTTCTTATGACCTGTGAAGGACAAAATTTGCATTGCAATTTAACATGCGAAGCAATGTACTGAAAATGGGATGATGCTATGATAGTTCTCTTATTGCTTGTGTTGGCATTAATTGATACTAGCTACAGGAATAAGTGTCTGTTTCTTTGTAAGAATATCAAATTTTAAAAGGTAGGATATAGTGTGAAGAGTAAAGACTAATAGGTATGTGGCACTGAAGGAAAATTATGCAAGTTCAAGGATTTTCTGTTAACATTTTATAAAGCATTGAACAGTCCTCAACAGAGAATGGTATTTTCTGCGACACTTCTTATGCAGAG